TGGTTTTAAGCTCACAGTTCCTGCTCACCTCCCTGCCATCTTCTTGGCCATGTAATTTTGTTTTTTTAGTCCTTTTGAGACAGGGTCTCCCTGTAGCCCCAGCTGTCCTGGATTCACCATGGAGACCAGGCTGGCCTCGAATTCACAGAGATCTGCCTGCCTCTGCCTCCTGAGTGCTGGAAAAGGCATGCGCCACCACTTCCGGCCCAAGTTGTTTTTTAAGACTAATTAATGTGTAACTAATTACCTCAAGCTTGGTAATTAAAACATGGTTTATATTTGTTGTTTCAGTTTCTGTAGATCAAGAGTCTTGTTAAAGCTTAGTTCCTCTGCTCAGGGCCATAGAAGGCTGCAGTCTCCAACTGGAGCTGAGAGTCTTCCTCCATGCTCATGTGACATAATCTTTGCAGCTATAGAGCCTCCTGGCTGTTTGCTCCTTTATGATATCAGGGGACTCTGAACTCAGGGAAGGCCCAAGCCCTCTTTTAAAGAGCTGGCTTGGTAAAGTCAATCCCCCCATTTCCCAGGGTAATTTCCCTATTGATTAAGCCCAAAACCAAGCTGAATGGGTACCTTCCTTACATCTGTAAAATTCCTTCCAGTTTGCCTGCATTCTGGTTCATGATAAGGGGTAGTCATTAGGTCATTAGTAGGTAGTCTCAAGGGAAGGAATTGTATAGAGTATGTTTATTAGCTGGTCTTGGGTGCCACTGTAAAATTCTACCTGCCACAGAAGAATAGGGCTGTAGTAACATAGTACAAGTTAATACTTTAGTCAAGATCACCTGTGAAAACTTATCAGTCTCTGGACCAGCTTACCCCAAAAGTGCATACGTTTTCAGTTTCCATGTAGTGTCATCAGACAATTTGTAGGGATGCCTAAATTACAGAGAACAAGTAATCTATTCCAACCCTCCTCTTCAAATAATAATTAGAAAAGATGATTTGTCCAAAGCCAGATGCCATTAAGTTTAAGACCTAGGTTTTCACTTCCAGTATGCAGTGCTTTGAATTGCTTTTCAGACAGGCACGCTCGGCTTTAGTCAAAGGCAGTTACTTGGAGTTTACCTTTTTATATGAAATTTTTCTGTTAAAATTATTGCTAACTATGCTAAAGGCCTAAACATCTGAGTCATTTTACACCTTTTTGGTTATTAAACTGGGAAGATTCATTAAATGTTTCCCAATAATTTGATATTTAAAAATTGCCCGTATTAACTGATTCAGTATTATCCAAACACTTGGTAAATCCATGCCTAACAAATTTGTCTTCTGAACACTTTTAAATTGTATACTTCTTAAACATTAATAAAAAGGTTTTTTTTTTTTAGGTCTCAGGATGCAATTCAGTTGTACAGTGCTTGTCTAGCATGTGAGAAGCCTTAGATTTAATTCCAGCACTGCAAGTGTGTGTGTATATGTATATGTATTTATATATGAATATTCATACATATGCTTTATGTAAAATACATTGATACATGTTGCTGCACAAGTGTCCAAATCAAATCACAGTATATATTGATGGCCATAATACAATCCTGGTTTTTGGTTGGTTTGGTTTTTCTTTTGAGACCGGGTCTCACCATGTAGTCCTGGCTAGTCTCGACCTCTCAAGAGATTTGCCTGCCTCTGCCTCCTGAGTGATTAAAGGGCTGCACCACTACACTCAGCAACATTTTTAAAAATGCAATTCTGTGTTGCTGAGACAGGCCTCATTACTGCCTCAACCTCCCAAGTAGCTGAGGTTACAGGCACAGGTCACGGCACCCTCCTATGTAGAGCAGATAAACTATCACTGAGGAGTAGTGTAAAGCCTGTCAGTGTGGGCAGAAGCAGCTTCTACTGGACAGTTTCTTACTAACTACCGCATTAATCATGCACAGGAAAAGCAGAATTAACATTTTTCCTCCTGAAAACTTAACCTAGCAATTATATTCAATTTGGATAGGCCTAAATTCAAGTCCTTGGAATAACAGAAGTTTGACTCTGGATGCCCATGCCAAGCTGTTTTGTTTCTGAAATTGATTTGACTGCTACTTCCTGGAAAGACCAAATGAGTGCCTCCTACCACAGGCCTGCAGCACTCCCTGGTCATTGCTGCTAATGTCTTTGCCCATGTTCTGCCCTTTTCTCCACCAATTTTATCTTTTGTATCCCTAACTATGCTGTCTACTCCAAGTTAATTAGCTTTTCTAGACTGTCAGTTCTTAATCTTTGTAAAGAAAGTTTTGGGCTGGCAAGATGGCTCACAGGATTATCTGAGTTTGAGTCCTAAAACCCATATTGTGGAAGGAGAGATCTGATTCTGAAAAGTTGGCCTTTGACCTCCATGTTTGTACGTGCATACACATACTCCCTCTCAAATGTAAAATTTTTCTCTTTTCTGTAACTCTTAAAGCACACATCCTATTTTTCCTATTTTACTTCTATGTAACTGTTGATCTGGCTTTGTTTTTCTCTTGATAATACTGGGAAGTTTTAAAGAGCTAGCTTTGTGTTGGCTTGAATTTCTAGTTCAAGATTAAGGGGCTGCAGCTAGTGATTGATGGCTGCCTTGCTGGCAGAGCTCTCAGGTGATCCAGAGCATCACATGGCAAGCGTTGGAGAATTTCTTTTGTGACCCTGTTCGTTGGTTTCCCAGTTACAGAACCATAAGGATTCAATCACGGAGAATCTAATGACCTTGTCTAACCCTATCACGTTCCAAGGCTCCACCTCCAAATACCATTGTTGGGTTAAGTCGCTGTGCTCGGTACCTCAGAATGGATAAAAGCTTGGGAGATATTCAAATCATAGTAGCTATGAACTCCTTGACTGTGGTTACTAGCTAATTTTACCTAAAATTTCTTCCAGTCTGCTTTTATTCTTTGAAACAATTGTTAAGAATGTCTAATAATTGGGAGTGTGAAGGAGAATACTTAGTAATCCATATGCTTTCATAGTACACTCAAACTGCAGTTACTTGGCCTCCAGTTAATTCCTTCAGTGTCCCTCCCCTCCATTCCTCTGAGCCTTTTCCTTTGTATACAGTTGCCTTTTTACTCTGTGTGTGTGTGTGTGTGTGTGTGTGTTTGAGGCAGGATCTCTTGTATCCCAAGGTGCCTTGAACTCACCGTGTAACTGAGAATGGCCTTGAACTTCTGATCCTTCTGCCCCTACCTTGTGTGTGTGTGTGTGTGTGTGTGTGTGTGTGTGTGTGTTATGTGTTGTGCTTGCTAAATGCTGCCATTGAGCTGCATACCCAACCTGCCCTTTTACTGTTTTTAGGTATAGCAGTAATACCTAACTCTTCAACTTGGCTAAGAAAAAAAAAGTTGTTCCCCCCCCCCCAAAGAAAGAAGGAAACTTTCCACTCAGTAATTGGTGAGGGCATAGATAACCTCCCACAGCACGAAACATAGCTATTAGGTCTTCTGGATGT